AAAAAAAAACAATTCTAAAAAATAACCCGTTTTAAAATTTTAGTTTCTAAAGCGTGGAAGACTCGTGCAACAGATAACGCTCTTTGGAAAAATCAATGTACCCTCGCCGGTTTCCCTACCACCACAACACCTTCATCCTTTAACTACAACGTCGAATCCGACGATTTCTTTTATCAATTATATAAGCATCACTATATTGTCCAGAATAATTGGAATAAGAAATCATTTACGCAACACCTCTTTCTCGGTCATAGAGAAAATATCACCTGCATTGTCGGATCTGAATTAAGCAATATATTCTATTCTGCGTCTTTTGATAAGACCGTTAAGGTTTGGGAGATATCCAGCCAAACTTGTCTCAGAACCTTGGAAGGCCATACTGAAGAAGTTCAATGTTTAGCATTAGCTCAATCAACGCTCGCATCAGGAAGTTGGGACAAATCTATAATCGTGTATGATCTTACAGAAGATTATAATATTAAACGCAAACTATTTGGTCACACGGCTGGAATCATATCCATAGAAATAAGTTCAAACGAAATCCTTCTTTTTTCTGGATCTGTAGATAAAACAATTAGAATATGGAACATTAACACCGGCGACTGCTTACATAGATTGTATGGTCATGATAGTACAGTGGGTGCGTTAACGCTAGTCCCTCAATCTCCCTTCACTGATGATCAAGATGATCTATATTGGCTTGTTTCTGGTTCGAATGATACAAACATTTTCATGTGGGATATTGATCAATCGAGCCTAATTCAGAAAACTCAATCAACGAAACCTCAAATCGTTAGAAGACTAGAAGGGCATGCGAGAGCGGTAACCTGCTTGGCCTGGCATAAAGATATAATAAACCAAATTATAGATCACAATCAAAGACATTTAGATTATTCAGATCCGATCCATATCAGTACTATGCAATTTCTATCTTCTAGTTCATCCAGTTCATCTCCTCAAACAAATAATGAAGATAATGAAAATGATATGGATTTGGATTCTCATGCATCACCATCTAATAGTTACGATCAAGATACAAATAATGATCATGAAAATGCTCCTCAAAATTTTCACAATAATTTTCATTCTCGAAATTCTTTATTATCTACGAATACGAACAATACAGTACCCTCACCACCTCTTAGCCCTAATAGCGATTCCATGCAATTAAGTGATTTAGAGAAACCGTCAATTACACAAACTATTTTGTCTGCATCTGCAGATTCTACTATCCGTATGTGGAATCTTTTTACCGGTAAACAACTTCTTTATGCTAACGACCATACCGACACAGTTTGGCAGATTCAATGTAATCCGTCACGCCTTGTTTCCGTTTCTTCTGATGGATTCGTCAAAATGCGCAAATGGCGATGTAATCACAGCCATGTTGAAAACCAACAAGCAGGATTCGACTCCTTAATCACTCCGGGAATTCAAAAATGCTTTAAACTTTCCTGTCCTGCAATAACACTCACTCAAGTTGACCGTGGTGTGACGTGTTTTAAAATGACGTATGAATGGTTGGTCTGTGGAACGGAAGATGGCGTTCTTATAGCACTGAAGTTCATTGAATCTCAAAACTAAATTAATTTTCAATCGTTTTCGCAATTCACGATATTTTTTTTTTTGTTTTTTTCGGACATTCGATAAATAATTAAGTATTCTATCATTTGAATCGGTTTTCCCCCCTCTCATGAACAATTATGCATATTGTTATACTTACAAGAAAAAAAAAAAAAAGAGAAAAAAAGAAAAAAAAGAACACACACAACACAACAAAAAAATTTAAAATCGTTAATCGCTACGTACAAATGGTTAAATTTGAGAGAAATTCGATATATTCGAGAGAAAGTACAATCTTGTGGGGGCAATTCGTCGCCCTTTTATTTCATTCTATTTGAAAAATTTAAGCCGCAGAAAAAGAACTGTAACTTTTATTAAGAAAAATAAAATTCGTTACGATTAAAATATTATGTAATGCATATACAGTATCTTTGAAGAACATGATTAAGATTACGTGTCAGATCTAGTTAATGAGATCAAATTTATAGCATAACAAACCAAAAATTGTATCAAAGGTAATTATTTTCTTTATTACATGAGGTTATGACTTCTCCTATAGAAAAATCAATTATACATAACAAAAGTTACTTTGAGTGATCCTTAACAGGAATGAGACACCCGTGATGATGCAAGAAACTTTGACATGATATTCCTTACACCATTTGTGATCCTATTACGCATAAACCACAAGATTTACAATCATAGACTTTTTTTCCTGCCAAGTTCTTTGCTTGTTTTTCTGTTTCCACTTCTCGTAGATAGGTTAGGTTAATGTCGCTTTCACGTAACGTGAAATCGAAACGAGTACCCTCAGTTTGGACATGTTGGACAATTAAATAAATTCAATTACTCAAAATTTTATTATTAAGATAACCTATATTATTTTCTAAGTAAAATATGTTTATCATTTAAAAAAATATAAAACCATATATTTTTTAACTAAATTATTAATTATTAAAGTTTGGACATGCTCTGGACATTTTTGGACATTTAGACACTTGGACGTTGGACAGTCAAAAGAAAATCCCGGGCTGAAGATCACTTCCGACCCTAAAATTCATTGTCCGGATCCAATAAAATTACAGGATCTCGTGTAACAAGATAAACGTAAAACTACTAACTTCCGACCTCTAAGTAAAAGTTTTCAGCATGAAATTTTACTTATAGGTCACAATTTTTAATGTTAGATACATAAAGAATTTTTGAGGTACTACGGACCCTTATTTTTTTGGTCGGCATTTTCTTGACATAAGAGTACTCAATCGAAACAATCAATCGAAAACAATCAAGTAATTTTAAAATAATAAAACACTGTATATTCGTGGTACAGTCCAAATGTCAATTAGCCAAATTTAACCCTAACGTCAGGGCCTAAATTAATTAAATTAATTAAATTAACAATTGGGACAAATTATCTGCCATTAGGGTTGTTAAATTAATGTAAGTTACATGTAAGTTATTGTAACTTACACTGTAACTTTCACTATAACTTACCTGACTTAAGTAACTTACATGTAACTTACCATGTAAAGTAAGTTGTCAGGTAAGTTTTAACAACCCTATCTGCCATCCAACTTGGGGGATTGGATATATTAATCATTAGTAGTCAAAAGTTATCTAACCGCCTTAAGTTGAACCATACCTCGAGTTGGTCCCTCACACTTAACATGTATGTGCTAAGAAACATTTTAAATTTATAATGTAATATTGAGTCTTCTAAATTCACATTCCAACAAGATGATTTGTAGATAAATAATTGCGATTTTGTGGCAATCATTCACGATACTGTTTATTTTCTTTCATACTCTTGACGCTGTCGTGCCTAAAGTTAGAAGTTGCACCTGAAGTTATACATGCTAAAATTACCAGCTAACGAGTGTAAGATCAAATTTCTGGAACTAATTTCAGTCAGGTTCAACTTCGGGCACCTGAAGTTGCAGCTTCAGATGGGTGTCGAATTCAAGTACAACACTACCATCATTATTTTTTATTTCATTTTTTAATTGGAACCGGATCACTTGTATGCGTACACCATTTCAAACACGATACTGGCCGTCCGCTCTACATTTGGAGCCGGGTTCTCTGATTTCATATGTCTTAAAAAAGAAATTCACCTCTAGATCTATTCCAAATTTTTACAGATTGGTTCTTGGTTTTTTTTAATACAAATCTCCTGTGTTTCACTGCATGATTCAATTTTATGTTCATAATGTAATTGTCCATGTACGTACGTACGTACGTACATATAATAAAATTAGATTGGTCTCAATTAATCATTGATAATCTATTAGCACACATAAACGAATATTATATTTTCCGTGAGTCATTCGAGTCTACCAAAGTTGTAAAACTTTAAATAAAAGTTTTCAAAGAGTGTGGTAACTTAGTGTAGTTGGTAAGTTGTTGCACCCCAAGTGGCAGGTCAAGAGTTTGAATCCCACTGACGACAAAATTCGAATTTAAGAAATGCATTACAGTAAACTGTGTGTAATCTGACAGATCGGCATCTGTAATCTTGATCGTACCAGCTTGTACTGGAAGGTTGTGAAATAGTAATGCTATATATAAGTTGCACAAAATAAGTGATATGCCATATAAATCTAAGGAATTAGGATATACAGAAACCTACTTGGCAAGTTCTGAGTAGAGAGGTAGTACAGACTTTCAACAGCACTATTATTATCAGCAATCGGACACTAGTGATAAACCAAATGAGAACCAGGTGTTTGATAAATACTAATACCAACTAGGCCGCATGTATATAAGGAAAAAAGATTCAATCAAAATACTAGGGAACACATACTGATCCCTCTTGGGCCATCTGGATTGGGAGTTTAGGATGCAGTTAGTAACTAGGAACAATGATAATTGTCTATAAAGTGTGTACTGGGGTTTGAGTGAATTTTGCAAGGTCAAGAAGTAAATAACAGTAGCGGCTTTAACTTGCAAGTACTTGGCCTCGGCCTAAGCATAAGTTACTAAAAAATTGAAAAATCTAGATGATATATGTGTGGAATATGAACCGCTCTAGTAGGTTTACTACAAAGAAAAGTAGTCCTAAGAAGCTTTAGCAGCAATTCCTCTTTAGAGAAAATATCCTGACAACGCTAAGTTAATTAGAGTAGTAATACTTTCATTAATATAACAAAGTCAGGGGTGGCTTTGTGGCTGCCCTGGCATTCATAACCAAAGTTAATAAATGTGCCAGACCCTCAAGTGGTCATCTTAACATTAAAAAAAAAATAATAAAAAAAATTTTCAAAATGAAATTTTACTTATAAAATACAATTGTCAATGCTAGATATATAGTAAATTTTTGAGATACTACGATCCATATTTTTTTGGCCAGCAGCTTAAGATTTTCTTGACATAAGGATACCTATATATAACACTTGTTCTACAGGTCATATGTCAATACACCTGCATAGTAAATTAAAAAAAAATAGCGTATTTCAGAAATAAATGAAATAAGTAGAAGCTTAAATCTTTGTGTATCAAAATGTTGAAATTTGAAAATGAAGCGAATGTTTAGAGACCCCATTTAATAAAATAATAAATTTTTCAACGGTAAAAATCATTATTTTAAATTTATTAGAAAATGAAACAAAATTAATACATCACTCTTTTGAAAATAAATACAGTACTACGTTATCTATTTCTGTCAAAATTAGATTCCCACATGTTAATCCAGAAACCACTTGTTGAATCTATTACAAAATCTAAAACTTAACAGAATCTGCCGAGAAACTATTCAGAAATGATAATAGCAGTAAACTGGGTGTATCCGATTAAGTTGGTCGGTTAGTCTGTTGACGATTTTTAATAGGTACATACATCTATGTGCCCACTGCCTCATTTAGGGGACGTCTAAAGCCGTGTCCAGTCACGTGTTTTTTGTTTTTAATTAAAGTTAGGGTAAGGGTCAGTTTGGGG